GGAAATAGCTGCAGGGGAAGAGCGGAGGAGATGGGCAATTAGGTGAGGGCGGGGTAGGCTTCTCTGAAGAGATGGGTTTTCAGGGTGCGCCTAAAGGTGAGGAGGGTAGGTGACAGTCTGATGGATTGGGGTAGTGAGTTCCAGAGGATGGGGGAAGCCCTGGAGAAGTCCTGGAGACAGGCATGGGAGGAGGAGACCAGGGAACTAGAGAGTAGGAGGTCTTGTGAGGAGCGGAGAGAGCGTTTTGGGTGGTAGCTGGATATCAGGTTGGCGATGTAGTTTGGGGCAGTGTTATGAACAGCTATGTACGTCAATGTTAATAATTTTGAATTTTATGCGTTGGACAATCGGAAGCCAGTGGAGGGATTGGCAGAGGGGGGTGGCGGATACGGAGCGGTTAGTAAGGTGGATGAGTCTGGCCGCAGAATTCAGGATAGACTGAAGCGGGGATAGCCTGTGTTGAGGTAGGCCGGCGAGGAGGGAGTTACAGTAGTCAGTAGTCAAGTCAAGATTATTGATCAATGGTGAGCCATGGAGCCAGAATAGTGAACAGGTATAAGCCATAGAGTGGTATTAGTAAACAGTGATGCGCAATGGAGCTGGTATAGTGGTCAGTAGTGAGTCATGGAGCTGTAATTGTGAACAGAGGTTAGCCGTGCAGTTTTAACCGTGAATAATAAGTCACAGAGCTGTAAAATAAACAATGGTGAGCATTGGAGCTGGAATAGTGATAATTGGTGAGCCATGGCGCTGTAATTGTGAGGAAATGTGAGCTGTAACAATGAAAAGTGGTTAGCCGTGGAGCTGGAAGAGTAAACAGTGATAATCAGTGGAGCTAGAATATTAAACTGGAAAAACTGAAGAGCTGGAATAGTGGGCAGCCATGAGTTGTGGCTTGTTAACAGTGGTGAGGCATAGAGGTGGAATAGTGAAGTACAGTGAGCCATGGAGCTGGCATAGTGAACAGTGATGAACCATACAGCTGGAACAGTGAACAGTGATGAACCATACAACTGGAACAGTGGTGGGCCATGAAGTGAGAATACTAAACAGAGGTGAGCTATAATAGTGATGTGGTAATTCGTAGAGTTAGAGTAGTGAACTGTGGTGAGCCGTGGAGCTGGAATAGTAAACAGTGGTATGGCAACAACAGCATGAAATTCTCTAAGTAAAAGCTAAGTTTCCTATGCTCATCGCTTTCCAGATGGCACGGTATAGTAAATCCACATGTTTTGTATTTATACTTCTGTTTTTCATTTTGTTCCATATGGTATGATGCTGTCTAGTCACATGTTACATGTTTAGTATTTATGCCTGTATGTTGTGTTTCATTTTTTTTTTCCATAAAACCTGTTCTAGGTATGCCAGACACTATGGGGTTTATTTACTAAAGCTGGAGAGTCCAAAATCAGACTCCCTTCTGCATAGAAACCAATCAGCTTCTAACCTCAGCTTGTTCAATGAAGCTTTGGCAATGAAACCTGGAAGCTGATTGGTTTCTATGCAGAAGGGAGTCTGATTTTGGACTCTCCAGCTTTAGTAAATAAACCCCTATGTGACCAAGTAGATGCATGTTATGAAATGTTCCTCTATTTGTGGTTAAAACAATATTAAAGAAGAAATCCGGACACAATTATGATTTTTCTATGCAGTGGGGCTCTGTCCACACTGCATGGGTTAAATGCTAATTTTTGTCTAAGGGGTCAGGAAGCAAAGATACTTACCTAATCCACTGATCCTTTGTGCGCAAGACTGGTCCCCACCGCTTCTGCTCCCCCACACACTAGCGGTCTTGTGAATGGGCTATTCCTGACGTCATCATACCCACAGACCGGCTCCAGACGTGAGGATGGCAGGAACAGTCTACCGCTGGATGTAGGGGAGCACGGATTTTCGGAGGAATGGGTAAGTTCAGATTTTACCTTAGCCCCTAGACAAAACGAGTACAGCCCCACTGCATGGGATAATACATTTTTTTAACTGGAGTTCTGCTTTAAACCTAAAAGCAAAAATGTATTATATTACAGCTTACCAATTCTTGGATGGGATGGCTGCATTAATGATCGTTTTTAGGCTATTGTTCTTGTATTTTCATCTGGTGATCTGCCCAGTAAGTCTGTTTTTCAAAAGAACAAGCTCTCTGCCAGATGTATCAGTTTACAAGTATGAGACAAACCATTTACCACTGACATGGTTGCTTACAATGATCAACTTATATTTATTTGTGAAAAACCTTTATCCCACAATAAAAAAACAGTTTGCTGTAGCTGATTATAAAAAGTGAGCTGGAGTTTGGCTTCAATTTGTTAGGTATTTAAATCTGCTAATACATCTAACACTCCCCTCCCCCAAAACTGACCATGCTGTTGTCTGCTGTGTCCCCTGTGCTTCTTCATGCAGAGTGGGGTCACTCTAATACAGAAGGAGTGTTACCGGCCAGATCAGATCAGCAGGATAAAACAGGGAAAAATTCTAAAAAAAAAGAAAACTATTGCAGCCACCACATTTAATGATTGGTAAGCTGAAATACATTACATTTTTGGTTTGGGGTTTAATTTCACTTTTTAATAGATTATTAGATGGTTATTTTCCCTTTTAAAATATTGGTGTACTGCAGATTTTTTTTATTATACTATTACCTGAACAAAGTTGCACAGCACCCATCAGTCATTTGTAGCACAAACAGGCAGGGGGACCAGGGAGGATGCGGGAGAGATTGACTCAAGCAGGGACACAAAGCAAGCTGCTATATGCCATGTGCAGTTAGTCTGGCCTAATTTGACCAAGCTGAAGGAACCTCTTTACACTGGCCATCAAAGCCAGGCCCAAAATAGGAGCTAGATGAAGGGCTTTTGTCTTGCTAATGCACCTTGTTTCACACAGAGACTCCTACATACCCAGGTAGAGAGGCGCCTGGAGAGAGCCGGAGTGTGCCAGCACTTGAGCTCAGGAGCCTATTATGTGATACACAAAAGATGCACCTGCAGACAGCCAAGTGAGATTTACTGGATCTGTCTGCTTGCTTTCATCCTAGGCAGCCTAGCAAGAATTAACCCTCACTGGCCTTGGTGTGTTTTTTGGATGGCAGAGACCAGTTCTGGTTATAGATGTAGCAATACAGGCAGCAAACTTCTAGAAGATTTAAACCCAGTCATTAAAATCTCATATACGCAAGCTTTAATGGCTCAAAACCTGTTCTAAAGTTTTGTTAAATTATTCCTGCTGATAACTGCCATGAAGGTCAATGTTATCTCTCACATAAACTCTGTGCTGACACACAGCAGTGGGAGCCATTGGCTCCCTCCCCTGTTAATCATAGCCAGTGAGAAGGTAGCAAGGGATGGGGTTGAGTGGTGCGAAGTGTGTCTTATATATACATACATACATACATGCATGCATACACACACACCAGAGGTGGTTCAGGAGTGAGCACACGAGTGCCCCCAAAGCAAACAGCTTGCTCTGGGAGCACTAAGCAGGGGGGAGGGGCCAGGAGTGCCAGCTGGGGAACTGAGAAGAGGAGGAATAGGGCTGCTTTGTTCAAAACCATTACACTGAGCAGGCAAGTATAAAATATTTGTTCTTTAAAAAACAAAAACAAAACCTGAGCCTTTAGTGGTACTTTAAGGCACGGTCCCATTTAACACAATGGGAGAGTATGATAGACAGCCTGACAAACTTAGCATATCAAGTAAAATTTTCGGTGTATCCTAAACTTTTGCCATGTTTCATTTTTTCATTAAATACTGTTTTAGCCCTTTTTTATTGTGGACTTTTCCTCCCACTGACAAGTTGCACTTATTCAAGGTGTCCCCCCTCCCTAAAATGCATAAAAGTGCATGGTGGGTGGGGGAGGAGAATAGATAATAATAGTTTTTTTTTTTGTTTTTGTTTTTTTTAAATTGCTGGTCTCCTTCAGTCTCTTTCAGTCGCATGTAGTCTCCACTGGCAGTGCTGACAGTGTAATAATGCAGGAGAACAATTTGGGGACGGAGTGTTACAGAAAGTGTCTGAACCTTCGTAGCAGGATCACCAGCGATTATTATAATGAAAGCTGAAGACTCAAAAATACTAAAAATTACTTTTCAAATGACATCAATGTGTTATTTAAATGAGATTTAGGTTTACATCTACTTTAAGGCCTCCTTTTATAATTTTAAAATTACAGCTTGTGCCAGAGGTTATTCATGAACTGGACCCTTTATCCGTCTTTACTACTTAGCTACCAAGGTGTATAAACAGCACATTACTACTGTCATTTACTAGCGGACCACCTCTATCTGGCTCAGACACCCTCACTTTGGCACCACTGTACTTTCTGAGAACAAACTACAAGGTTGAGGATAGTATTCACAAACTTGGCTCCGACCATCACTTCTGCTGCTGGCAAAATCATTAGGCTCCCTCCCAGAAGGCTCTTCAGACAACGGATGTTAGGTTGTTTACTATTGCTGTGGTTACTCCAATACCCACACCGATGGTAGATCACAGTTAGTGAGGCCAGGAATTTCTGTAGGACAGAGCAAGATATAATGTTCTAGACAGCAAATGGTGCTTTGATTGTAAAAACTCCATCTGCATGCAGCAAGGCAAATACCTAATTCTTTTAATGCAGAAAAGGGTGGAATTACGGTAATCAATTAATCATCAATTGCAGGAAAAATTCAAATGTTACCGACAAAGCAAAGGTAGAGGGGCCTGAAAAGCCAAGTGAAAGGGGCTTTGTACTAGGAAACCAGTTGAATGTTATAAGTACCAGTCAAGTTCAAGCAATCTTTTCCTGAGTGACACATGGGGGCCGCCATTGCCAACCCCTTTCTGAAGGTGTCTGTTGTCCAGCTGGTAGACTGACTAACTTGTCTCACTGTATTGTATGTAAATCCTAACAGTGAATTTTTCTTAGTTTTTCTCCCTTTTGGTCCTATAATATAAGACTGAAAGTATTTTGTCATATCCAGTGGTGCAACTAAAGCCATAGAAACCCATCAAAATATATCAAATACATGTGACCAGGGCCGGACTGACCATTTGGAAACTCGGGCACTGCCCGAGGGCTCGGGGTCTGTAGGGGGCCCCATGAGATGCCCCTGGTATCTTTTTCATAGGCTTTTTTGAGTTTGGGCAAGGACACAGGGGCCCCATGATCCCCTATTGCCCGGGGGCCCCATGAGTTGTTCGTCTGCCCCTGCATGTGACTACATAAAAAAAAGAGAAAATAGGTAAATAAAAAGACAATCCACCCAGTGATGATTGTTGATGCAACAAACACAGTAAATTAGTGTGCAACAGGTTCAGTACCGTATCATTAATAAGAAGAGATAACTCTCAAATGTAAAAGAGAGCCTCTGGGATCACGCTACTGTTAGATCTCCTTTTTATCCCCATTTGTGAGTAGATTTATTGTCTTAAAGAATAAGTTCACCTTTGGGAACATGTAACATGTTCCCATAGTTGTAGCTGCCCCCCCCCCCCCCCCCCCCGACAGATAGTACGAGGATATAAAAAGAAAGGGGCGCCAGCCTAAGTGTAATATAAATTACAGGTTTATTAAAATTAGCCAAATTACTACTCACAGCTGAGGTAAGTATATGGGCATTTATCGGGTCCAAAAGGACATATGCAGGGGCTGGTGTGTGTCCACTGGAGCCCGGGCACCGAGGGTCTGGTGTAAACAGGCCGTCAGTCGGAAACGCCGTAACCACTGTGGAACGCACAGCCAGAGCCAGAGGCAACATCCAATAGGAACGCAAGGATGAGTCAGGTAATGAGTCAAGTGATGCGTTTTTAAAGCTTCCGCTTTTTTATTCAAACCTGATAGGATGGCTGGATTGTCACTCTTTTATAGGAGATTATGTGGAACAGGTGGAGTGCGACCAATTAAATGAACATAATGGATGAAACCTCATATATATTTATATCTATAACTATCTCAGCATATCTCTACAGGTATATTCATAAATACAGTTGTGCTCAAAAGTTTACATACCCTGGCAGAAATTGTGACATTTTGGCTTTGATATTGAAAATATGACTGATCATGCGAAAAAATGCTTGTTTATTGAAGGATGATGATCATATAAAGCCATTTATTATTAAATAGTTGTTTGGCTCCTTTTTAAATCATAATGATAACAGAAATCACCCAAATGGCCATGATCAAAAGTTTCCATCCCCTGGAATGTTTGGCCTTGGTACAGACACACAAGGTGACACACACGGGTTAAAATGACAATTAGAGGTTAATGTCCCACATCTGTGTCTTTTTAAATTGCAATTAGTGTCAGTGTATAAATAGTCAATGAGTTTGTTAGCTCTTACATGGAAGCACTGACTAGGCTAGATACTGAGCCATGGGGATCAGAAAAGAACAGTCAAAAGTCCTGCGTAACAAAGTAATGGAACTTTATAAAGATGGAAAAGGACATAAAAAGATGTCCAAAGCCTTGAATATGCCAATCAGTACTGTTAAATCACTTATTAAGAAGTGGAAAGTTTGGGATCTCTTGATACCAGGGGCGGACTGACCATTTGGAAACTTAGGCACTGCCCGAGGGCCCGGGGTCAGTAGGGGGCCCCATGAGATGCCCCTGGTACCTTTTTTCATAGGTTTTTTTTAGTTTGGGCAAGGACACAGGGACCCCATGATCCCCTATTGCCCGGGGGCCCCCATGAGTTGTCAGTCCGCCCCTGCTTGATACCAAGCCAAGGTCAGGTAAACCAAGAAAGATTGCAGCCATAACTGACAAAAAAGCCTGGTTAGTATATGCCTGACAACACCTTGACATGCCTAACCAGTCCTTTTTGTGTCATTGATGCAGTAAAAGTTTCTTTCTGGCACCTCGACCATGCAGCTCATTTTTGTTCAAGTGCCATCATATTGTGCTCCTTCAAAACAACCACACTGTCTTTTTCCAGAGCAGCCTGTATTTCTTTTGAGGTTGCCTGTGGATTTTTCTTTGAATCCCGGACAATTCTTTTGTCAGTTATGGCTGCAATCTTTCTTGGTTTCTTGATATTGATGGGCTGCATGCTTGGAGTTTGTGAGGGGATTATAAGGCTGAGGATGTACGGCAAGGTTGGAAGTGAAAGTCTGAAAAATCTGGAAATAACAGGATACTAGCTGCTGGTGAGAGGGGCACAGGTTGGCTGTAAATTGCCATGAAGTGTGTGTGTGTGGGGGATGGGGGGGTTATAACAGTGAAAGAGAGGCGTACAGGGTGATTACAGTGAAGGAGCTCCACCAGCACCGCCCCAAATGCTCCCCCACCCTCCACTACTGCAGCCTGCCACCAACCCTGGCTGGTGACAACCGATCACCCACTATGCCCCCTCCCCCATTGCCAACAACCTCACCATCACCCCCCGCCTCCCATTCACTAGAACTAACCTGCAGCCAGCCATCCATGCAGACTCCTCACCAGGTCCCCGTCCCTCCTGCCATTTCCTTCTGGGGGCGATGCCACCTCCCTGAAAACTGTCGCCCCCAGGCAAGTGCCTTGTTTGCCTTGAGGTAAATACACCGCTGGCTGTGAATAAGACAGTAGGAGTGGCTGATAAGTTTAGAAAAAGACTACGTGCAGGGCTGACACCACTAAAAATTCTGTATGTTGTCAGCCCACAACAGGAATTAGAAGCTGAGTACATTTCTGGTGGATCAGCGGGTACTTTTAGGTGCTTGTTGAGTGTTTAAAGGGGTAAATATGGGAAAATGTGGACGTATTTCAGAGATGTACTATATACCTGTTTTTTTGTTTATTTTGCCTTGATACACACATTACAGATTGGTATAGTTTAGGATAAATGACTCAGAGCTAAAGTCCGGGGAAAGTGTGCATTAGAAGCTGCTTCTCACAGTGTACATTAGAGGCATCATCTAGCTCTTTCCTCCCCAGTCTGACTGTCCCTGGCCCAACCCTTTCATTCATTGGATTTAAGTCCTTTTATTTATGGAGGCTCAGCATCACATATAGGAACTACCTAGAGTGGTCTGCAAATAAATGACGTCTGCCTAGGAATGTCCACACTTCCAGACTAATATCTACCTGTCACGTTATTTCGAGATTTGCACAACTTCTCCCAAGAGCCAGCTCACTGCTTGAATAGGGACTGAGAACTATTGATAGGAGGCAGGGTTCTGTGATGTTTTCAGGGAGCTATGTACAGCGCCCTGCCAGCCCCTCCCACCAGCCTTTATCTGTCTGCATTTCATAGAGAAGTACATAGTCCTAGTGATTATTTAACTGCGGATAATACGAGTGGCGCTCAAGTCAGAGTGGGACTTTTAATTTTACATGTATAAAAAAAGGGATGCTAGTATGATGGTACTACACGTAGTAATAAGTGGAAAGTGTGTCCTATTACTAATAGATGGAAAACATATCGCGAGCCAGTCCATAGACCGTTAATCAAGATGGCAGACAACAGTGTTAGTGCGTGTATGGAACAGCATATGTTGATGACGTTTTTTTGTGAATGAAGGCATAAAACCCGCTTATATCTGCAGCAGACTTCATATATATATGGTGATGAGACACTCAGCCATAGTACAACATTTCAATGGTGTAAGCGCTTCAAAGATGGCCATATGTCCATCAGTGACTATCCCAGCTGTGGTGGTTCCCAGCCCACAGCAGTCATTTATCAGTGCCCTTCATTGCTGCCAATCAGTATTGCCAGTCAGTGCCCATCAATGTTGCCAGTCAGTGCCACCTATCATTGCAGCCTATCAGTGCCGCATGTCATTGCAGCCTCAGCAGTGCCTCCTCATCAGTACCTATCAGTGCAGCCTATCAGTGCCGCCTCACCAGTGCCCATCAGTGCTGCCTACCAGTACTCATCTTTTTTCATTTAGCAAAAAATAAAACACCCAGTGGTGATTAAATACCACCAAAAGAAAGCACTATTTGTGGAAAAAATGGGTACAGTGTTGCATAACTTCGCAATTGTCATTCAAAGTGCAATAGCACTGAAAGCTGAAAATTGGCCTGAGTAGGAAATGGTTCAAACCTTTCAGTAGTATGTTGATGGAGGATTCCAGAGGAGTCAAGAGGCAAAATATAAGCAGAATAAACTTTTGTCTTCAATAAGTCAAAATCATCACCCATTCCTCATGCTTGGCATTCCACCCTCACTATCAATTTTTTTTTTGGGGGGGGGGGAAGCTCCACCCTATTGGCATTGGCTGGAACATAATGCTTTTTTTTGTTTTAGTTTGATTTATTAGTGGTCTTTGGATAAAAGTGAATAAAACATTTCCTATTTCTGAAGCAGCACCATTAATACTAATACATTTGTGATCAAATGAACAGAAATGGTACCTAGCAGACCAGGACTTCAGTGTAATGGAAAGAGAACAGAGGCAAAGTTTTAGGCTGCTCGCTCTAATCTCCAATAACATAGAGAAGTATAACTATCCGTAAATGCAGCCAGCAATAAATCCAACCGGAGCTGTGATGTGTGAGGTTAAATACTCTCCAGCGGTAGCACAGAGCTGCGCAGTTTGTAGAGGCACATTTAATACACCATGCCAAACCTGGCAAGCCATGTACCAGCACAAAACACACCTTTTTTATAATAACCGACAGAAAGCAGTGGAGATGAAAGATGCTACAAACTTGGGAATGTTGGAGTAATAATTTTTATAGAATCTTTTTTTTTTTTTTTTTTTTTTTGGATCAGAGAGATGGGATAGATTAATGCGTTAAGTTTTAAATATGTAATGTTGGGTTTAGCTTGGTATTTTTGTTTTTTTATTTCTAGGATGTGGTTTTTTTTTTGTTTGTTTTTTAATATTGAGATGTATTTTCATTATTATTGGGTCACCCCTCCAAATCATCTAATTTAGGTGTTCCAGTCACCTCCATGGCCACAGGTGTGCATCTAGGCATGCAGACTCCTTCTACAAACATTTTGTGAAAGAACAGATCGCTCTCAGGAGCTCAGTGAATTGAAGCGTGGTACCGTGGTAGGTTGCCACCTGTGCAATAAGAGTCAATGTAAAGCATGCCACCACTGGACTCTAGAGCAGTGGAGACATGTGCTCTGGAGTGACGAATCGCGCTTCTCTGTCTGGCAATTCGATGGACGTGTCTGGGTTTGGTGGTTGCCAGGAGAGAAAGGTACTTGCATGACTGCAGTGTGCCAAGTGTAAAGTTTGGTGGAGGGGGGATTATGGTGTGGGGTTGTTTTTCAAAGATTGGGCTTTAAAAACACTGCTTTCAGGGTTGTTTTGGCTTTTTTTCTGCCTTTAAATGCTCCTCCCCATGTTGGCCTATGAGTCCATTAACATATACGTATTTAGAAGCATTTAGCTGGAGGGGTGCTCAGAAGCAGAAAGAAAAAAAAAAATACACTGCCAGCATGTTCAGGAGCAGCAGCATTTTTGGTCAAAAAATGCTTGATGCGTGTAAACGCATGTTTATGATAGGTGCATAAAGAGCTTGGTCATTCATTTCAAAGGCCAGAATACATTTTTATTCTGGCCAATGAAATTAACACCAAAGTGGTTGATGTGCCCAAATGCCTTTACACGCATCAAGCATTTTTGCTGCCAGAAGATAAGGCATTTAGGAGAGCTGGGCAAATGCCCTGTGAGCATGATGAATTTTTCCCAAAAGGAACACAATTGTGGCTGTAACTGCTGATAAAGTGTGAGCTGGATTTTGGCTTCAGTTTGTCAGTGCACTGAAATCTACTAGTATATTTAACATTACTCTCCTCCCAGACTGACAATGCTGCTGTCCAAAGGTGTCTCTGTTGCTCCTTCATCCAGGACATAGGCACTCTAATACAGGAGGTGTGCTAATTTCCTTATCAGGTGAAAGGCGAGCGAAAAAAGCCTAAAAACGAAAACCAATGCAGCCACCAGATCTAATGATTGGTAAGCTGCCATATATTTCACTTTTGGTTTTGGGTTTAATACTGCTTTAATCCAGGATGAAAAATAACTGCAGACATTCATAGGCAATCTTTGTATTCATTTACACAAATCCTAGCAAGACAAATTACAGAAGATACTAAAATAAAAATAAATCTATCTACTTATATTTTTTTAAGTTTGTTTTTATTTTGTTTTTTTTTACGCTAATATGATTCTAGCCACATGTCTGTAGAGAGGCATGAGCTCAAACGTGTTCACATTCTAGTCTGAATCTACCTGAGCTATCCCACCAAGAAGCCGTCAGTGCACACCACACCATGGCCAAGGCATTCCCCACCCAGCAGTTGCATCTATAAAGTGCCTCGAAAAAGTATTCATACCCCTTGAAATTTTCCACATTTTGTCATATTATATAATCAAAAATGTAAATGTATGTTATTAAAATTTTATATGATGGACTAACACAAAGTGGCACATAATTGTCAAGTGGAAGGAAAAATAAATGGTTTTCAATTTTTTTTTACAAAATAAATATCTGAAAAGTGTGGGGTGCATTTGTATTCAGCCCCCTTTACTCTGATACCCCTAACTAAAATCTAGTGGAACCAATTGCTTTCAGAAAGCACCTGATTAGTAAATAGAGTACACATGTGTGTAATTTAATCTCAGTATAAATACAGCTGTTATGTGAACCCTCAGAGGTTTGTTGGAGAACATTAGTGAACAAACAGCCCATGAAAGCCAAAGAACACACCAGATAGTTCAGGGATAAAGTTGTAGAGACGTACATGTCCTTGTACATGTGGCTGCAGAGTGGGGAATGCTGCAGTCCCTGATGATTGGCCCAGTACAGGTGACAGCTTCTTGGCAGGCTTGTGGTTGGGAGTTTTGACTAAGATCTGAACACACCTGAGCAAACCTGCACTTATCCCTATTTATGGATGAATGACCATCATACCTACACTATATGGCCACAAGTACAACTCCCCTCCCAATGAGTTCAGGTATTTCCAGTGAAGGTACTATTAATGCTATACCATACAAAGGCAATTGGACAATTGTAAACCTCCAACCTTATGGTAAGAGTTTTGGGAAAGGGCCTTTTCTGTTACAGAATGACTGACTGTATCCCTGTGTACAAAGCCAGCATGACACGGTTTGATCAGTTTGGTGTGGAGGAATCAACCCTACTGAACACCTTTGGGATGGATTGGACTGCCAATTGTGAGCCAAGTCTTCTCATCCAACATCAGTACCTGACCTCACAAATGGACACAAATTCCCCCAGACACACTCCAAAGTCTTGTGGAAAGTATTCCCAGAACAATAGTGGATTTTATTGCAGCAAAGGGGCACAACTCCATATTAATGGCAGTGGTTTTGGAATGGGATATCCAACAATCTCATATAGGCATGATAGGTAGATGGTCACAAACATCTGGCCATATTATGTGAAGTTTATGCATTGATGTTGATTAAGTTCTTTGACTTATGTAATGTGATTTCAGAATATTTTTAGTGTGTGTGTGTGATGATATATATATATATATATATATATATATATATATATATATATATAATAAAACACCTATTAATTTACATACCTGCTTCTTGCGTGAACTGGCATCATCACACTGCTGACTCGCTGTCCCTGAGCAGGCTAGTGATTTAGGAAGCTGTCTTGATTTCATAAATAGTAGAATGTTTGTGAAACATGACACTGGCTGAACTGAATTACAAATCCTTTGATAAGTAAAACAGTTCATGTGAGTATTTCTACTGTTTATTTTCCTTTTTTCTTGGAGTTCTTTCTATGCAGAAAAGAGGTTGATTGTAGTTAAAAATGGTACCAAAAATATTGCTAATTAACAATTTTAAATGTAGTCCAGAATGGGACACCCTGGAAAATTTTGAACGTGAACATGCTCCCTTCCCCACTGTAGGAGTCGTGTTGTCACCCTGGGACAGGACTACAAAACACCTCTCGCCTATGGTATGATAGGGGGATAGGGATAGGCATTCTCTATTCTTGTCCTCGGGTGACAACTCTGCCTCTGCATATATACAGTGAGTGAGAATGGGTACCCTGGGATAAAAAGTATGTTACTGGCAGGATCACCAGGTGAAAAATAAGGAAAAGTGCCTGAAAAAAGAAAACTAATGCAGCTAAGGTCTGATAAGCTGCAGTTTATTTTATTTTTGTTCGTTGGTTTAGATACACTTTAATGTCTTTAGAATTATATTAGATCTGGCTAGAATCCTTTTTTTTTTTTTTTTTTTTCTTCTTTGGTTGTTTGCTAGGATAGAGGATACTTTTCTTTTCCCTCTATTGCAAAATTGGACAAGGCAGAGCCATCCAAGTGTTGTAGAAATACAGGTTTCTGCATGGGCACCAGTACTGTGTATTGCCCTCTTTCAGCAGTCGTCCTTTCCTTTTCAATAACCTTCCCTGTATAGGAAGTCCATCTCTTGCTTCCAGTTTTAAATGTTGCAGATTTTTTTTTCATTATAACTTGGTATTCCTGACATAAAACTCATATTTTATATTAGTTTAAAACGGGTTTATTTTTCAAAAAGGCACAAATGAAGGTGCTGCTGTTTCCAGGCCTTGCTAATGCTATTAATGCAGTTCTGTGGTTCTCCAGGGAATCAACAGCGCTCTGTACAGCCCCACAGAACCAGACATCATGTGATGTCACTGTACCTTCCCCCAGCCACAAGTCTGTGCTCCCCTCCAGAGAAGTATGTTACCTCTACAAACAAAGCTGCACTGTAAGACAGCACTGATTCATCAGAGATGGCATCACACTATGCATGCAGAAATTACAAAATATGCTCTACACCCAGCTTTCAACTGTATGTAAACTATCCCCAGCAAAGTTCCAACTTTTCAAACCTAAAAGAGAACTCCAAGAAAATGAAGAAGCAAAAATTCAGTTTTCGTAGATAAATTAATT